AGGTAATGCCTCCAAATCTTGAAAGCAAACACAATCGCAGCCAACTCCAAATCATGAGTCGGGTAGTTCTCCTCATGAGGCTTCAACTGCCTCGAAGCAAAAGCAACATCTCTACCAGACTGCATCAACACACAACCTAGCCCCTTTTCCAGAAGCATCACAGTAAAGCTCAAACTGCTCCTCAGGATCAGGAAGGATCAACACAGGTGAAGTAGTCAATCTCTCCTTCAACTCCAGAAAGCACGCCTCACACTCGTGAGTCCACACAAATGGAGTCTTCTTTCGGGTAAGGCGAGTCAAAGGGAGAACCATCGTGGAAAAACCCTTGATGAACCTCCGATAGTAACCTACAAAACCTAAGAAGCTCCTCACCTCCGTAACTGTCTTGGGCCTCTCCCAATCCAGCACAGCCTCAATCTTGTTGGGATCCACTGCAACTCCATCCGCTGAAATCACATGCCCAAGAAACTTGACTGATTTGAGCCAAAACTCACACATAGAAGGCTTAGCATAAAGCTTTTTCTCCTTCAGCACTTGCAGAACAATCCTCAGATGCTCTGCATGCTCCTCCTCAGTCTTGGAGTAAATCAGAATGTCATCAATAAAGACGATCACAAACTGATCCAGATACGGCTGGAAAATCCTGTTCATGTAATCCATGAACACTGCCGGCGCATTGGTGAGTCCAAACGGGATCACCAAATACTCAAAGTGACCGTATCTCGAACGAAACACGGTCTTAGGGACATCCTCCGGCTTCACCCGAATATGATGGTATCCGGACCGGAGATCAATCTTGGAATACACGCAAGCACCGCTGAGCTGATCCAACAGATCATCAATCCGAGGAAGGAGATATTTGATCTTGATCGTCACCTTGTTCAGCTGCCTGTAGTCGGTGCACAATCGCATTGTCCCGTCCTTCTTCTTCACAAAGATGACCGGTGCTCCCCAAGGAGACACATTCCGCCGGATGAAATCTTTCGCTGAAAGATCTTCAATATGCTTCTTCAACTCAGCTAACTCCGGTGGCGACATCCGATATGGAGCTAAAGAAATCGGCCCCACACCAGGCAACAAATCAATGGAGAACTCTATCTCCGGCTGCGGCGGAAACTCGGGAATCTCCTCAGGAAACACCTCGAGGAACTCCCCCACCACATGAATGCCAGTGATATCCTCATGTGTCCCACTCACCAAACCTCCCAACATGACATAACCAAATGCCCCTGCGCTCAAGGCCTTCCTAGCCTGCAACGATGAAATATATGGTGAGGAACTAGCTGTGGAATCACACGGAGACATCACCACGCGCTTTGCACAACAATCAATTAGTGCACAATTTCTAGACAACCAATCCATGCCCAGAATAATCTCCAAGTTGGCCATCGGCAATCCTATCAGATCTACCGAGAACTCACGGCCATCCCACTGAAACGCTACATCGCGATGTACAGTGGTAGAATCACATATTTCTCTGGTGGCGGTAGTCACCTGCAACGGTGGAGAAAACACAGACATGGGCAACTCAAGCCCCAAAGCAATCGGGGTAGCAACAAACGAATGCGTAGCCCCGAAATAAAATAAAGCATCAACAGCAATACCACCAACAGACACAGTACTTCTAACAAGGTTCGGAGCGCGGTCCGACTGCTGCCTATCCAAGGTGTACACATGCCCAACAGAAGGTGGCACCGTAGGTGCCGAAGTAGAAGCCATCGGAACCATCTGCAAAGGAACTGCCTGAACAGCTGCAGCTCTCGCCGTCAACGACGGACAGTCTCTGGAGAAGTGGCCCTCCTTGCCACACTGGAAACAGATCAGCTGACCTGAAGCACAACGACCAGCATGCTCTTTTCTGCACCCCGCACATCTCGGAGTGGAAGGAGGCCTAACAAAACTCCCCTGCTGTGAAGCAGTCATCTTGAACTGACCAGGCGCCTGCCTAGTCGCCAACTATTTACCCTTGCCCTTCCCGGCAAACTTCCTGTCCTTCCAGGACGTAGGAGCAGGAGTGGAACTAACAGTCCCCTTGGTTTCGTCGACCCTGGCCCTCTTGGCCTTGCTCGCTACGCAGACATCCTCAATGTCCTTACACTGCTGAACCAGTGTACCAAAATCCCTCGAAGAAGCTCCAGCAATATGCTCAGCAATCACCTCACTAAGTCCTCTATGGAACTTAGCAGCCAGAAACATCGGAGTAGGAGGAACCATCCGGAAGTGCGCAAACTTCACAAGCTCATTAAACTTGGCCAAGTACTCGTCAACAGACGTCGAGCCCTGAACCAATCTATCAAACTCCCCCTGCTTCCTCTCCTGCGCATCGTAGGGAAAGTATCTGCCCAAGAAGCATTCCTCAAAGAATGATCACGTCAAAACACGACCCTGCATCTCAAAAGCACGAGAGGTGTTCGTCCACCACTCATGGGCATCGCCCTCCAACATGTAAGTCGAGAACATCAGCTTCTGTGGGTCTGTACACTGCATGACCCGAAATATCTTGTCCAGCGACTCCAGCCATCTCGCCGCAGCAATAGGATACAAAGACCCTTCAAACACAGGTGGCTTATGCTTCCTGAAAGCATTCAGCCGGCGATCTATCACGTCACGATCCTCAGCAGGCTCTACAAGAGTCTCCCTTCAGTGACATGAGCAGCACTGTCAATGTGACTTAGGCTCTCATCCTGAACACTAGTTGGAGGCAGTGGAAACTAGCCTACAGCAGGACCAGCCCTCATCTCCTCCAACATGACTCTCATCATCGTTATGTTAGCCATCCTGTTCGCCTCGGGGACATCCTCAGTGGTCCTCCGGTTCGCTTCACAAACCTCCTCTGCGGCTATCCGATTCGCCTCGCGAACAACGTCCATCATTGCCGCGTTGGCCAATCTAGTGACCTCCTGATCGGCTAACCTAGCCGCCTGCATCTCAGCCAATGCGGTCAGGACCATATTCACAAGACTTAAGCCCAACATAATCAAGCTCAGATTCAATCTCCTCGTAATAATGTTCATGCAATGTCATTGATATACGTGCGTGGAACTAACATGACAGATGGAAAGTTAATGAAAGTTGAAACTAACTTTTGCCAGCTAACTTAGTCTTTTGCATTATTCTGTTAGAAAGTTTATGCAACAGCTTTTTCTTTTTACTTTCTATTAGTTTCTTCTTTGTCATTGAGTGAGCTTAGCTATGTATTCAGCTTTTCTATATATAGGGAGACTCCACTGGAAAGAGTATTCAGTTTTCTCATAATTAAAAAACGGTTTTATGAACTAATTTACTTTTAGATTTTGGATGATATTTGGATATCTATTTGTCATAACGGTTTGGAAATCCACTATTTCAAATCACTTTAAGATTTAACAGTAAATTATTATTTCGAAATGTGTTGATTTAGTGCTTCTCAGACATATAGATTAGTCTGGACTTTATTGCATAATAGTTAGTTTTTTTTTTTTTTTAAAGAAGAAGAAGATAATATTCCTGCATTAATTGTAGTGGGGTTGTGTGACTTTTGCACTGGCAGCACTGCCGATTAAACATTTGCATACGAGATACACATTTTTCCCCAGTTGCCTTTGTGTTTATAAAATTCTGATTGTCAATCATTGATCCTGTTTGCAAGCTGATTGCTAAGTTTCCACCGTCATCTCGTAACTTGTATTCTTGACTATTGAATTCTCATTCAACAGTGGTAAATTTGTATTCATTTTGAGAATTAATTTTATGTTGTTTGCAACCGATGATAAAATTGTTTTTGATTTAAAACAATTTGAAATCGAAATCGATTTATAATTTAGAACCGATTTCAACGGTTAAAAAGGAAAAATAGTTTAATTTAAAAATTAAACGGTTAAAACCGATTCGTGCTTTTAATAAAAATTAATCGAAACTGAACCACTCTATTCATATAACAGAAGGATCTTCATAATCCGTCCCGTATTAATACAGACAGCTCCCGAGGAAAATGGGATCAAATTTATGAGATTATAGGTTCACATAATTTTCTTTTTTCCTATGTAGTTAGGCTACGTAGTATGTACTTATCACTTAAAACAAATGGTTGGGCTCAATGGCCTCCAGCATTTACATTTGATCTGTAGCGCATTCTCGTGACTCAAAAAATCAAAAGAATTGGATAAGCCCTGGGCCTGCTCCTCAACAGACCCAAATAAACTCAAGAAAAAAAAAAATTGGAAAAAAAAAAAAAAAAACACGACGCATTTCCCCTTCCCAACGTGGAATGTGTGTAATGGGAAAAAAATTTAGATATTTAATTCTTCAGCTTTGGATCTTTTTGAGTCTTTAGGTCATTAGAGTTATTTGAGCTTGAGTTTCTTTATATCCAAGCAGTGAGCCAATTGAAAAAAAAATTGAAATAATAATGTTTAACATGTTAATGATTATTAAAAATATTAAAAATTAGTGTGTTGATTAAGGAGTCACAACCCATTTACTTCTGCTTGCAAAATGTTTAATCATTGTTATAAAAAAAAAAAAAAAAAAAAAAATGTTTAATCATAACCTACATCAGTTGCGAGCGAGTTAATCAGGCTTATTCGCAAACGGTGAACCATTTACCTGACTTTAAGACATTTTGTTTGTGGTTTTTATTAAATAAGAATTATCTATTAATAAAAAAGTTACTAAGAAATATGATGATAAAATATTTTTGTACTTTTCTTATATTTTAAAACCAAATTTTTAAAAAAAAATTATATGATTATTTTATTTTATTTTTCAAAATTTGTCCGATTCTTTATTTTCAAAGGGATAAAAGCAGGTTTCCAAAAACAAAAAAAAGGGATAAATATTTAATTAAATCACAAGAGGCGCGTGCTTTGCTTGCAGCATGAGGTGTCCAGATATTTAATTTTAAACAAACGATGCAGGATTCACGCGCAGAGCACGTGGAGCGAGAAGTGAAATTGTATGCGTTATGCAACAAAATAAAATAAACAAATAAAACAAAACAAAACAAAAGAGAGAGAGAGAGAGAGAGAAGTTTCACACTTAACTAGTAACTAGTTAACTCAGCCCCCAAAATAGGTTGAGAAGTTTCACATTTGGAATGGACTCAGTCTCTCTCTTCTGCACCGGAGCTCTCCTTGCCGGCGGCCTCTACTGGTTCGTCTGCATTCTTGGCCCAGCCGAACAAAAGGGCAAACGCGCGACCGATCTGTCCGGAGGCTCGATCTCCGCCGAAAAAGTCCAAGACAACTACAAGCAGTACTGGTCCTTCTTCCGCCGCCCCAAGGAGATCGAAACCGCCGAGAAAGTCCCCGACTTCGTCGACACTTTCTACAATTTAGTAACCGATATTTACGAGTGGGGTTGGGGCCAGTCCTTCCACTTCTCTCCCTCCATCCCCGGGAAGTCCCACCGCGATGCCACGCGCCTCCACGAAGAGATGGCCGTGGATCTCATCGAAGTCAAATCTGGCGATAGAATCCTAGACGTAGGATGCGGTGTCGGTGGTCCCATGCGTGCCATCGCCGCTCACTCGCGCGCCAACGTTGTTGGCATCACAATCAACGAGTACCAGGTGAATCGAGCCAGGTTGCACAACAAGAAGGCAGGGCTTGACTCCCTATGCGAGGTGGTTTGCGGCAATTTCCTCCAGATGCCGTTCCCCGATAACAGTTTCGACGGCGCGTACTCAATCGAGGCAACGTGTCACGCGCCGAAGCTGGAGGAAGTGTACGCGGAAATCTTTCGGGTTCTGAAGCCAGGGTCTCTGTATCTTTCATACGAGTGGGTCACAACGGACAAGTATAGAGGCGATAACCCTGAACATGTGGATATTATTCAAGGGATTGAGAGAGGCGATGCTTTGCCTGGGCTCAGGAGCTACGCTGATATAGCCGAGACGGCTCGTAAGGTGGGGTTCGAGGTGGTGAAGGAGCGGGATCTGGCGAAGCCACCGGCTGAGCCTTGGTGGAGTCGGTTGAAGATGGGTAGGATCGCCTACTGGCGGAACCACATTGTGGTCACTGTTCTGGCAACTTTGGGAATAGCACCCAAAGGTACGGTGGATGTTCATGAGATGCTATTCAAAACCGCTGACTATTTGACCAGAGGGGGTGACACTGGAATTTTCTCTCCGATGCACATGATCCTCTGCAGAAAACCCGAAGACAGACACAATTGAGGTGTAGGTGTACCCTAAAAACTCCCACCATGATTCCGGTATTTCCGCCCCAATCTCATTTTGTTTTTGTTTTTTTATTATTTATAATTTTCATTTTCATTTTGGATTTAACTTATTATTATTATTATTACTATGAACTTGATGTACTTCGATTGTCGAGATTTTTAATTCAGTTTTTATTTCAATTTTCCTCTGCTGGGCCAGTCGCCATTGATTATTCGTTGAGGATGTCTTTCTTATTATTTTTCATTTGCATTTATTTGAACGGAATTTATTTATCATACAGTGAGCTATTTATTGATTGGAACGAATTGGTTGTTATTTGTTGTCGTTACGGTGGGGAGTGAGGACTTTTGATTAAAACGGAGAAAGAAATTGTACCCTTTATGTTTGTCTCACGGATCACAGAATCTCGTGCTCCGATTTACAGTGCTGGTTGTTAAAAGATATTTTATTTGATTCGAGTAAATCTTGGCTCGTCATGGACGAAGATCCAGAGTCTATAATAAAAGTTTAAAGTTGAAAAGGAGATGTGGAAAGAGAGGTAACAGAGCACATGTTAGATGGCTACACATTAGAGAGAGAGAGAGAGAGGGGGGGGGGGGGGGGTGTGCTTAGGTGGCGACCACTAACGCTAGCTTTAGCCTGGTTGTCCTGTAACGTGGATATGCTTGAGCTTTCAGAGTCTGAATCTGGAATAAATATTTGGTACTATTGTTGTACTACAGATTCAGTGTATTTCACCAATTAAAATATTATATGTCAGTTAAAATTTATTTTTATTTTTTTGTCAATTTTTTTTCTCTCATTTGATGCGTAATCTTTTCGTTGATAAGATACACTGAATCAAGATAGTGCCTTGCCAAAGATTTATTCTGAATCTGGCCTGTGATGTATGTTTTGTTGCTTTTTCGGTTTTACTCGTCACCTTGTGCGTGGCTATTCACTTCCGAAGGTCGACGGACCACACATACCGCGACATGTGGCCCGCACTTGCTTTGTATCTGTCAATCAGTTCTAGTCACTGTCTCTTATCGTGTTCCCCTGACGCTACCAAAGCGTAGTTAGAACACAAGATCTTTTCACAAGAAACCCCTCATTAGGGGTTAGTGATAAAGAAATTTTAAATTACGGGTAAGTAATTCAAAATTTTGGATGGAGTAAGTGATTCTAAAAAAAAATTACAGGGTTTTTTTTTTTTTTTTTGAAATTTTTCTTTTTCTTTTTAATCTCTGGAGTCTGGAGAATTGAGGCCGAGCTCGTTAACGTTTATGGTCATATCTCGTAGATACGGCAAATGATGTAATCTATCCATTCGATTACGATTATTACAGTTTAGGGTGAAATAGATAATAAGCAAACGATTATTACATTTTAGGGGTGGAATAGATAAGAAGCAAAATACAGTCTTCACTTATTTTCCCTCTCGTTACCAGTTGTGTTTCAGTTTATAAGAGAGACATTTTGTCAGTATAATTCTTTATGTATTTATATATCCTATCTTTTTTGTACCATCTTATACAGTACATCAAATAAGGTCTTAATTTGACGCAATTCAATGAACACTAGCAGGTAATAGCCTACTAGGCATTCAACCGGTGAGACATTGTCCAATTGGTGTCTCCTTAATTGAGGTATTTGTAATTGAATTAAATTAATTCAAACTGAAAAACGAATTTAAAAAAAAAAAGGAAAGATAAAAAAGCCTATTAGCCTAACGTGTTCGATTTTGCTTGAATCTCAAGCTTATTTTTGATGAAAAACCAAAGGATCCAATTTTGTTTTCAGTTCAGTTTTCTTTTACGAAATAAAATCAACTCAAACTGAACTAAAACCAAATTAAAATGAATGTACTAATAACAAGAAAATCAGTGTAAGTCACAAATATATAAATATTTTTCTATGACATTCCCGTTAAAGTTTAATAAGAGCTCTAAGTTATTATTATTAATAATATTATTATTATTTTAAATGTCTGTGAGATAGATCAATGCCCCGATTGTGTCCCAACCCCCTACCTTTCACGACCTATATGTAATTGATACAAGCCCGTATAAATGAAATCAAAATCATTTTGTTTTCATTTTGAGTTTAGTCCACTTTTATTTCAAGATATTCTTTGAAAGAAATTGATATGTTTGGATTAATTTATTTTGGGATCATATTTTTCAAAATTTACAAAAAGAACTTGTGAAATAAAAAAAGTGATTATTTTCCTTAAAAAAATACTTGCTATGCACTTATTCTTTGACGAAACGTGTAACTGAAATGATCATAGTTCACTTATTAGGTGACATTTGCTTAGAGGGGTGTTCATCAACCGATCCAAATTAATTCAAATTGCAGTGACCGAATCAAAAAATTGATAACTGAATTAATTGAAAAATCGAAAGTCGAATTTTTTGTTGTTGCATATTATTTCAGGCAAAGGGTGTTTGTGGAAAGTGATTCAAATAATGCTATTGCGACGCTCACCAAAGATGGTGATGTTGCTCATGAGTCCCATTTGGTGACTCAGATACGAGCAAGGTTACACAGAGACTGGATAGTTCATCTTGATCATGTCTATAGAAAAGGAAACCAATGCACTGACTGGTTGCCTAATTTCTTTTTGGATTGCCAGCTGAATGATTCCCTCAGTATTGTCCATTCACCCCTTCGTGATCTTTACATATTAGTTTTAGTTGATATGGATGTTGTGGGCTTCTTACGAAGCCATGTTTCTTGATTTGTTTGTTTTCTTTTTTCTTTTAGTTGGGGGATTTCATCCCTTAACCACACAAAAAAAACAAAAATAAAACAAAGCAAATAGGCGTGTTTGTTGTCTGGAAGGGATCCGTGTTGGAGCAAAAATCATCTGATTTAATTCCTTCAATTTGATCATTTAATTATCCATTCGGTTTGGATTAGATCAATTTTTGATTTTATTCGATTTGGATTAAATCGGTTTTTGATTTTTCAAAAAGTCTAAATTTTGAGTTATACAAATCACTAACTACCTCAAAATAAAATCATACAAAGTTACAAACCACTGTAAAATTCAAATCTTCAAAATAAAACAAGTCTTAAAACTCATGAACAGTTAAAACAGAGTAATAGACAATAAAAAATTAAAATAAAGTACTTTGTTATCAAAAACCTCCAAGATTCCAAATCACTGTCTTTCTCTTTCATACTTCACTCTTTCAACTTGTTCAATGCTCACTCTGTGATTTTCAAAACAACAAACAAGACAACAATTTTCATGAAAATAAGATATTAAAAGATGGTTCAAGCAACAATAAATTTAAAATAAATACATGAACAATTGAAATAAAAAACAGCATCTTATATCATCAACTTTTAATCAAAATTCGCACCAAAATCATCATCAATATCTGTATTTAGAGAAATATCTAAAATAATTATAATAAAATATTGTTAGTAACTTAAAAATTAGAAAAATAAAAAAGTGATATAAAATTAAAAAATTATACAAGTAGAATAAAGTAAATTACGTATCTCCATCTTTACAAATTCTTCTATAAGCTCTTCTACATCATTGGGTCGATTTGGATTGAATTAGTTTTCACCAACCAAGCCAAAAATTGATCTAATCCAATTAAAATATGCATCAACAAAAATTCGAATTTTAATTTTTCAATTAATTCGGTTATCAATTTTTTGATTCGGTCACCACAATTTGAATTCGATTAGATAGGTTAATGAACATCCCCTAAGCAAATGTCACCTAATCAGTGAACTAAAGTTGTTTCAGCTACTTGTTTCGTCAAAGAATAAGTTCATAGCAAGTATTTTTTTAAGGAAAATAATAACTTTTTTATTTCAAAAGTTCTTTTTGAAAAATATTATCCCAAAATAAATTAATCCAAACATATCAATTTCTTTCTAAGAATATCTTGAAATAAAAGTTGACTAAACTCAAAATGAAAACAAGGTCATTAGTCATGCCATTGATGTAAATGCATTAAAAAACTGAGATGATTAAAAAACGATGATAGCAAAAAATGTTTGGAATTTTAATGCTATTAATGATGGCCTTCTGTATCATTTGTAATTTTATTTTATTTTTAAATAAAAACCTAAACTAACATATTGAAATTTATTTGAAAATCGTTAATGTAGGTCATTACTTCGTGCCATTCCAGTAATTAAATGCATTAAAAATGAGATGATTAAAAAATGAAGATAGCCAACAAAATTTGGAATTTTAATGTCATTAATGATGTCCTTTTAATTTTTGACTTTTTAAACCCTAAAATGTATTTATAGTAAAGTGTGTTTTACAATGACTTAGAGACATACATATTCTTTACAACACATTTACACAACAATAATATTTATTTTACTATAAAGTGGGATTTCTGAAAAGAATTAATTTTGAAAAACACAATAAGGTAAAAAACTATGAGCACCAAATATATAATCGCTTGAAATATGGTGCTATATTTACCTCCATAATCGTACTACTCGAAGAGACAGCTTTAAACTTAGGTAATGTATTACTTTTTAGCTTGATAAGATTGTGAATTGTACTGAAAAAATATATAAGGAATTGAATGTTTCTACAGTGGGAGAGTATTGTGTTTAGCATTTAATGTTTGTGCAGTGGAAAAAAAATATATAGAATAAATTTAAATATAATTAAAAATTATAGATTAAATGAAAAAATATTTAAATTATAGAAAATATGTAAAGTTGATAAAAAAAAATTAAATTTGAAATTTAACTAAAAAAAATATTGACTTAATTATACTTTAAAAGGAAATAAATTAAAAATTTAACTTAAAAAAAAAAAGAAAAAAAAATGTACAAGTATTTTATTTTAACATAACCATTTTAAATATATATGCATAACTGATATTAAAATCATAAATTAAAAAATAAAATTTAATTTTTCAAAATATATGTATAATTAATACAAAATAACTGGATACTAAAAAAATACAAAATAATACAAATTTTTTATTTAAACAAATAAATGACATATATCATTCTGGAAAAAAACTAATTATAAAAATTTAATCATTATAAAAATGAATGATTCAAAAAGAGAATAAAAAAAGTTGCATAAGTATTTTTCTAAAAAAATATTTAACATAAACGTTTTAAATATACGTATATAACCAATAAGCTTGGTAAGTTAATGTAGTTATATTTTATTTTTATTTTTGGTAAAAATATAATCATATTTAATTACCATTGAAATTCGTATAGATATAATAA